ACAGACTAGCTTGGTAAGTCATCTTAGATGAACTTGCCATCCAACCCACAGTCAAAAGGCAACTTCACCCACTGTCCATACTGGAAGAAAAGAGGAAAGGTCCTCTGGACGAGCGACCTGTGCGAGAGCAGGGGGAAAATCGTATTCAAAAAGGTGCCAAGGTTGGAGCTGGGTCCACGAATCAAGGAGACACGCCCGACTGAGGCCATCCGAGGGGTTGGAGTGACTATCAATCCACTCGAACCACACTCGAATCCGAAAATGCTGCAGCAAATAATGCGCAAGCTGAACCATGGTGTGGACGTCTGCCTGAGAGCTCCCGCCCCGAATCAGGGAAGCTACTGCAGCTTCGTTGTCCACAAACCACAATACATCCAAGTCGGCCACAGCGTGTCCATGGAACCAGGGAGCCAGCAGTCCACACAAGGTCTCACCTGGGTAGATCTGCTGGCTGCGGGGCTGCCATGAGCTGATGACCCGTTGGGGGACTGTGCAGGTCACCCCACAGGGGGTGTCAGTTCGCCACATGATCACCCAGCCCAGCCGGAGTGTATCATTCTCAAATGACGCGTCAGAGTAGATGATCAGGGGTGTTGCTGGTTTAGACCTGACAGAGATGACCCGCGGTTCGGGGCAAGCCACAATGGCCGCGAGAAGCCGCAGTGTCAGGCAATCATCCTTGGAAAGGTCTGGAGATGCCGCTTTCTGTTTGGCTGCGAGCAACGGTCCCCCAATACGGCCTGCATAGCCAGCGCACATGGAAAACATCCAGTTGAGGTCGCCCCGGAGCTTGCCGGCATCATCAGGGGAGAGACTGGATGTGTCCAGGGCAGCACGCAGTTTCTTTAAAATCTTGGTGGATGTGGAAAACTTGGGTTGAAATCGGATCAAACCCTCATGAACGAAGTCTCCAACATGGACGGATGTTCCGAGGTAATGTCGATTGTGCCCAGGGGCGAACGACTTCGCTGGCTGTGGCGGTGCGCCTAACAACCTGAATGTCAGTTGCAAACCGACCTGGGACACATCATGATCCTGGATGAAATCGACGGCCAACTCGTCATCGAAGTACGCGGCCGCGAACCCAAGGAGGGAGCGCCTCACAATGGCTACACCCAGTTGCGGAAACCTGTTAAAATTCACAACTGCACTCTCCAAGCCATAAGCAAGTCCATACATAGTGGTGAACCTCCAACCTAGGTGTGGGACGAAAATGGCCACATTTGAGTAGCAGAGGTGTTCATCACATACATTCAGGTGTGTTCAGACCCGTCAGACAAGAAGGCAAAGCGGCTCTGTCCGAGTGGCTGGGTCCCTCGGCAGACGCGGACGTGCGCCGGCTAGTGCATAGCAGGCCTCCTCTGCACAGTGATGCTATCCATCAGATTACTTTGGAGGAGATTGATAAGGGCTTTTGCAGCCCGTTGCGGAGTATGAAGGAGATGGATGACTTGTTTGGACAGGGTGGATGGAGGGCGGTTGAGCGTTTCCTGATCATCCAGCCGGATGGTAAACAAATCTCCTACAATGGGAAATCCTTGCACCAAGTGCTGAGCAAGCGAAAGGTCAGGCCAACGAATCAGAATGGCAAGCACAGCAGTCAATGCTGGTTTCTTTCCGTGAGCAACCTGTGTCGCCGCCTGGCAGCGAAAGGGCACTAAGGCCTCTTCCAGGGGTGTTAGGGCCCTCGACACGGTGTTCAACACATGCCGGAGTTTGGACGCATAACGTGGGAGGCACTTCTGCCATACATACAGTGCTTCAACAACAAAACCAATGTCCGGTTCTGGCCAGTCCCGCGGGTAGAAAGGGGTAGGCAGCTCGGCCGATGCTGCGACATGAGCCTCCCACCCCCAATCAGGATACCTCGTGGGTGACGGCGCTGAAGAAGTCCTCGAAAGTGGTCAGCCCGCACATCCTCAACCCGATCCAGGTGCACGAGGTTAGGCATAGCTTGCTCTGCACTGCGTACAGCGTCCTCATCACTCTCAGCGCTGAGGGCGTAGAAATGAACACCCATGGCGAGGAGGGCTACGCAGAGACCCCCCACACCAGCCCAAAGATCGACGACCAACCACGTGCCCCGAAAGGGTTTCGCCCATGGGTACTGCGGCAGATCACTGCGCCCCCGCCACCTCACAGGCTTGGCCGCTGTGAGGCGTGCTGCGACATCCATAGAGCCCATGACAGGAGCGGCGTCTCCAGCCAAAACCACACGCCTGCCCTGACCGAGATGTGGTTCCTCCGTGAGGGAAAGCTGCGAGGATTGCCACGGCTCCACTTCGTCGGGGCACCCAGGCCCCCAGGGGGAGCTGTCCCTATTCAGAGTGCTGCAGGCGAGTATGGCCTGCTGAGCATGGCTTCCCCGTAGACCCGTAGAGAGCTTCACGTCTGCACTTGTGGATGTTGGGGCACTTAGCTTGCTGGCATCCCCTGCCATCGTTCCATGGCTTGCAAAACCGCTGGCCTCCCTTGACCTGGCTCACAGTAGGCCACCGGTCGGACTTGATCTGGCGCTTGGCCGGGGGAGCTTTCTCCTCAGAGGGCGCAATCTCCGCAGCTTTGCGCTTGGCCGAGGCCACCTCAGGCATAGAAGGCTGCAACGCTGGGGATCGCCACTCCAAATGAGTTTGGCGGAGGGCTTCAGCCAAAGCGCTGCCCCCTGTGTATCCCCGTCGAACCAGGGATGCCATCTTGGACCTGGTGAGAGTGTCACAGAGCAAGCTACCATGGCCATACTCCATCGTTGATTGCAAAGCGTGGTCCGCATAGGCCAGTGCTTGGTCCAAGGGCATGAAGGTGCGTTCCTGCTTGTCGAAGTCCTGCTGCTTGAAGAGACCAGCCCAGCCCCAGGCATAGGCTAAGGTCCGCAGCGCCCAGTAGTGGTCGACCACGGTCTTGGTATCCCGCCCTTCCTCCGTCTGAAACTCCAGCTGCACGCCAGAACCCAGTCTGACCGCTTCCTGGAGGCGAGGGGTGGACTGATGCAGGATAGACCGGATCTTACTGGCTGGAATGACAGTCATCGTGCGCTTGCGGAATTCACGATAGCACCTGCTGCGAAGTGAGTCGGAGGGCTCAAGCATGGGGTCCAATGTCAAGTTGTACTTGGCCAGGAAATCACGCGACATTTGTTGCATAGTGCTGTCTGGAAGAACTTCATCAGGGGCGTCCACATGCTTCTGCTCGGAGGCTGCCGTCTTGATGGCGGCAAGGCCCGCAGCCCGGGCCACTTTCAAGCGAGACCGAGCAAGGCGGTTGTCTTTCAATGTAGTGGTCAGCAAAACCTGGTTCAGGGAGTCTTCGATGTTCACATCATCAAACCAGTAAACGAAATCTTCCAAAGTCTCCCAACGATGTTTGGCAATGATCTCCTTGGACCACTCCGGAAGGATATTGGCCACAGAGAAGCACATCGCGAGGCCGCGGTCGTCGGCATAGACATCAATGTGGGAGGCATGAGTCATCGGGCCTCTCAGAAAAGTGGAGGAGGGCACCTGAAGATCTTGGGCCAGGACCACGGGAGTGGAGGATGACTGGAAGGCGCAGCTTCACAACCGCACCCCACACTACACCAGTGTGTACATGGCCTCGAATGCCTCAACCCCACCAGAGTGAACGTGTCACAAACAACCTCCTAACTACCAGTAAATGGACCAAAAAGGAGGGGAGATCAAACACGGTAATCTAACAACGTGCGACGGGGGCCGTCCCCCTGCCGACGCGCCCGCCCCCCCCGAAGACAGGCCCGCAGCACTTTTTCATACCCACCGGGTGGACGGTTAGTGAAGCCACCCGCATGTGTCTGCCAGGGCCTTGTACAGAGCCCGTGGCATGCGAGCCAGACACCGCTGGCGAAGCGCGCTCTTGGGGAGGGTATTAAAACCCTCACCGACCTGCTTCGGGTCTTGCGCGTAGGCCGCATCACGGCAGAAAGGGAGGAGCCTCCCATCCAACTCTCCTTGGACCAAGTGTACCCGGGAGGCTTGCACGAACCATTTGCCTTCGCATCCCAAGTCCGCTGGGGCGTCAATGCCTTCCAAGTCGGACGCGGCTGCAGAGATATCTGAAGCTGACACGGACGTAGTCGATGAAGAAACTGACAAAACCCCTTCTGCTTGGTTGGCGGGCGACAGGTTGTCAGCCTCAGGCTCCTCCTTCACCACCTCAGTAACCGGGAGGACCGGTTGGGCCACCTCCTCCGGGGTCAAAGACACCTCACAAAGTTCGACCGACTCCATCCCTGGTGGGAAGCGCTCATTCGCCACCGCGAGCTCCTGCCAGGACCAGGAATCTCTGGGCAGCAGCCCATCGTGCGTGAGGGCCAACTCAGGCTGCTTGAGCTGCCACAGCTGGAGGAAGCGCTTGACAAGGGCCTCCTTGAGCAGGCCGCTATGGACCACCTTCTGTCCGGCGTAATGCACGCCCATCGACCACGTGGCTCTACTCTTGCGCTGGGGAGTGGGGCCACCCACACTCGGCACTTCCACCCAGCTTCCAAGAGATTGTTGGTCTTGGTTATCCAAACGACAGATCTGACCCAGCGTGGGCAGGAAACGTCTCAACCGGTTGAACCCGGCCACCTGTGCTTGGGCTGGGTCCACACCAATATCCATCAACGTGCCCCTCATCAACTCGAGGAAACGGCCTCTCGACATTTTCTTCGTCATGATCCAGGGGGTGGTCTCAGTAACCTGCCACAACTCATCGGCCTGCAAGGCCACTGCAGGCCATAGAAAACCAACATCCGGCAAGGCCTCATGGAGGACGAAGTCTTTCACGATCTTCAAGAGGCTAGCTCCGCGGAAAACCAAGTCGGGCATAGCCCACTCATAGGGAGGTCGGGTACCCTGACGCCGAGCCTTCCCCTGGGAGCACTTGAAGATGAGGAAAGTGTCCGCCTCGCCCACAAAGCTGGAGCGTTGAAAATGTTCAAACCTGATGCATGACGTAGCTGCCCACTAGAACATAGCCAGGAGCAGCAGGTGCGTACCTGACGCCTGACGGAGGCGCAGGAGCAGGTTCATCTCCCAAGGCTGCAATTCTTGCTTCTGCTGAACCGCATGGCTCACGGGTAGCAACTTGTACGGTTGCAATAGCCAATGATCCAGCTCAAAGGGGAGGGCAAAGTGCTGGCGGAACCACTTCAGGGCATGGAACATGCTTGTAGCTGCTGTAGGGCCCCCCGGCCGCAACGGCCTTGAAGAAAGCACTCAACTGGAGGGGTGTAGGGGCACGAACATGGAACTGGTTGTCCAGTGCATACGTCCTCCACCGTCTGAGGGCGCTCACCAGAGCAGCCGCTCGTTGAGGCAACACACGGCTAGCCGCTGGCATGACTGTCTCCTTGAGGAGCTGGCGACGAACTGGATCGCACATCATGGGTCGATCGACCCCTATTCCTCCAAATCGAGGAAATCTTCCATCAATAACTCAAACATTGCCTCCAGCTTGGCGTTCTTCTGCAAGACCTCCTTCGCCGAACGGGTCTTGGGAGGCATCTTGAATCATAGTGGGAGCAGCCGATCCAGGGCCTGTGGAGGTCAAGTGGCGGAGCCGGACACCGGCAGGTGGCACTGTAGAATCCTGTCCTGATTGGACCGGGTGAATCGAGATGCACGACCTCCGATGATCCTCCACACGCCGTTGGGCTTTGGCGCGGGTGCTGTGGGCCCTGCCGGAAGCCACCGTCCAGAATGTGGCCACCGCGAACTCCTGGTCGGGAGGCAGAGATCCAATCTCGCTCTCCACTTCCTGCAGGAGTTCCTGGCTGCTCCCCCAAATACCTATAACATCAGTGCACGTCCAGGACCGCCAGTTCTCGTAGGCCATCAGGCTTGTCCTGAAGCAGATCCTGAAGCTCCTGCTCCACTCTGTGCGCAGTGTCACACTGCTGACAGAGTGCGCTGTATTCGAGCGACGCTCTCAAATAGCAGCCCTCACACCACGATGTAGTCCAAGCCCCACGAGCCCTGCAGAAGGCCACCGAATGCCACGAGCCCTGCAGAGAGCGACTCCAATCGACTCTCCACGGGAAGGTCCAGAGGCGGCAATCGGCGGCATGGCCAAAATTGAAAACCCCCGGACCTTCACTTGAGCCAAAATGGCATTCAAGTGAAGGTCCTAACACTTGCATGTTTCAGATCCCAAGGTGTCCCTTCCCAACCAACCATTCACCTTGGTGGATAATTGGGCGTGTCACTCAAAATAGGGAGATCTCCCAAGCAACGACCACTTGAAAGGTTCGGGAAATGGACTGCCAGGGTGTCTCCCGTATTCAAATTCACACCCGTATTGTACCGAGTATTTCCCTTCATCCATCAATACCGGCCCGGATTTTTTTGGGAATCGAAGTCAATCACCATGTCATTTGTAATCTACCAACGTATTTAGATGGTACAGCAATATATTTAAGGCCGGGCCTGTCTCCCATGTTCATGTTCAACTTGGGTTAACCAAACAAAACGTCGTTAGGTCCGGGGGAATCACTTCATGAGGTCTGGGAGGATCACTGATTCACTTCTACATGGCACCTGACAATGGCTTAGTGAACCTTTAGCTCGCGAACTTGACGATCATTGAGCTACGGTCAGACTCTGGGATCAAACCTGTTGTAAATGCATTTGTATACAGGTTGGATCTGGTTGGTTGATAGAGTAAGATTACAATGGAAACCATCGATTCTTCATGATTCTTCTAAACCAGGCAGTATCAAATCATGCTAAACCGGTTCAAGTCCATGGCTTCAGGAGTTCTTCCGTCCTTCTTTGCGTCCTCACCTCCCTGAACCCTCTGAAACCTCTCCCTTTGGGCGGTCCTCAGGCCTAGTCTCTCCTGTGATGGGACGAAGGCTCGGAGCGTTTGGACGCGACTTGCTCGGGCCGGGGCGAACAGCCTGGCCGTACTACGAACGGAGCAACAGCCTGGCCTTACTTGAAGGCACCTGGCTTTCCCCCTTTCTTGAAACAGAATGCTCCGTTCGTAGCGATGCCAGGAGCCCCGAGGCCCCTAGCGTTCTTGCTCCGTTCGTAGTAAGGCCCCCGAACGTAGCGTTCTTGTTACTAGGGTACTCAGTCCAAGCATAGATTGATCCCCCGCTGAAGTGCGTGTCAAGTGCTTGTCGTAGTCTCACGACACTTGGTTTTGGTGTCCAACATGACTTGGGCTTCCCGTGCCGATCACTGTTCACGCTATCGGGAAAGAAAACGGACATCGTGTTCCCGGACGTGCATGTAGACGTGGGTTAATCGTCTATAGTGTAAATTCGCACAGTACATATGCACCCATGTACATCCAGGGTATTTTGACATGTCTTTTATACCTGCCGCACAGACGGCCAGGTCCGGGGTGTGTTGGTGCACGCGAGATCTCGACCTTCCAAACTCGACCATCCCAGGTAGTCCAGTCTGTTCATTTTGATGAGTCAACCAAGTCTCCCGGTTTTCACCCAGAGCCATATGCTCCCCAGGAGAGAACACTGTCCGAACTTTAGCGTTGGCAAATCTGTGAGCACCTTGAGCACCGTGACTGTCCTGGTTGTTTCGCAGCTGCCCTTATGACTCTACCAAGTACTTAAAACCGCTGGGGCTTTAGCGCAGCCACGTAGATGACATGAATTCTGGGGGTGGTTTATAGGGCCCCAACCCTCGTGTTTATGCAAGCTACTCTGAAGCCACTATAAACCCAATAGACAGGAGTTTTTGGTGTGTTTTAGAGGCTGAACATGCCAAATACGCACTTGCTGGACTTGTGAAATGAATGAACATAGACATACATGGACAACAAAGGGATGTAAGATGAAGTAGTAAGTCTTTAAGTGCGCTCAAGTGACGCACTGGATTGCTTTGCATCTGTTCGACTTGAGCATTCGAATCGTGGGATCTCACCCAACTTCCTCCGCTATGCAGCTTCAATGTTTTGCTATCCAGAAAAAGCTCGTCCACTCTTAAGCATTCACCTGCCTCCCACCCAAAAAACAACGCCTCCTGCACCCTCCTAGGGCGTGGGTTCCAGATTTCTCACCCCAAATCCTTCCCGTGCCCAGCCTGCGCGAGCGGTCGATGGTCGGATCGCACCATGGACTGCATCGCCTGCCTGGCTAACCTGAAGCAGTCCGGTCGGAAGTTTGAGTCCTGCACCCGACAAGCACCAGGTCGACTCGACATGAAGGGTTGGGCAAGGCCCGAATACAGTGTTTCAATTGGTGACCTGGCAGGTTTCGGGTGCTGGTAGAAATTCCGTGTTTTGCACAAAAAATCGAGATAAGTGAGCTGTGCCACGTGCGTGCGAGTGCTTTGGCCCCAAGAAACATATAGCGCGACATGGGGTTGCGCGACCTATGAACCACAGAATCAACCCATGAGTAGACGACAGGTGGATTTTCCGAAGCGAACCCAGAAAGTCGGAACTCACTGCGTCTCTCCGGAAAAAAAAAAAAAAAAACACTCACTAACCGCCTTCCTTATGTACATAGGTGGATCATGAGCATGACTAGCATGACTAGCATGACTAGCACTAGCAGAACCTGGACTCATTGGAAGTTCAGAAAGAAGCTGAGATGGACCCCCCCCGTGTCGGACCGGGGCCACCGGGGAGAATGCGGGGAGCGGAAGCTTCCGGAGGTTGAGCGTCCCAAGCCGGTGAGTCTGAAGGCAAACTCTGGATGAACGAGCCCCAGGCCTGAATTCTGCTTTTACAATCCGAAGGGGGCGTTTGATTCATCCGTGTCCACGCCGATGTTGGTCTAAGAATGTCAAAGATGGTCTACCCTGCACATACCAACTATCTCCAGCCAGGATGCCCCCCACACCCATCCGCTCTCTCCATAAAGATCTCACTTGATCCGGCCGCGTCGTCGTTCCGATCCCACCGGCGCCGCCGCCGCCGCCTCGCGCGGTTCAGCGTGGCAGCTCGGAGGCGGTTCGCCAAGCGGCCCTGACCGGCGGTGCGCCGACCACCGCGGGTGAGAGCGTCACCGGTGAGAGCGGTGCCGGCGCCGATCCATGAAGCACCAGTTCTGCCAAAGACGGAGATCACATGAAGGACCATCGAGCCCCACCTGGTGCTTGGGGGGGGAGGTCTCCCTGGATACTATGATGTTAAAAGATGTAAGAATACGATCACCTGAAGGCCCCAAAACATCCAACTTCCCCATCTTCTTCCAGCTTCCAAGTGACCATTGGAAGGCTTGACCGAACTTGGGGATCGAAGAACCAGGTGTTGTGTTGGGCTGACTGGTCGGCTGACGGGTCAGTCGTCCAGGGTCGTCTCCCCCATGTGAGGCCTCTGTGTCAAGGCGGGTGGGTTGATGTGGACTTGGAAGTCTTCAAAGTACCCTTTAGTTTTGGGTGTCCCACCAGGGTGAACACTCAGGTCGCGGAGCAGCGGGCCTGGTTGCTTTCTCGAATTCGGGCCACGGAATAGTGGACATCGCCTCAGGGAACACAGCAGTGCCTGGTGGGGTTGATACTGCTTCCGTGCGGCCGATGGGCCGCAGCCCATGGAGTCGAACCAGAAGCCTACAATGCCAAAAGATAAACAACCCAGACGCTCCAAACAGCTCTTGGTCCCTCAAACCCTACAAAATTTGAGGGTCCGGACCCCTACTTAGGAGGGTCCAGCCCCTACTTGGGAGGGTCCATGAGCGTCTGGGAATGACTAAATTCCTGCAGTCACGTTCGATGGGGTGCTATCCATGGAGGGCGCCGTCGGGGCGCCCACTATCCACCCACACCACCCAACTCCAATGTGACTCCTGGTGCATTGGATTGTTTCTATAATAGAGATGTTCGAGTCTGTCATTCCAGTCATGCAGAAATTGTACCATATCTGTCAGGCTGTAGAACCGAGAGTCCATGAGTCTCAAAGTACTTCAGAAAATGGGTACAAGTATGTACAAGTACCTGTTTTTATGGGGTCATGTCCCATTTTCTAAGATACTTTGGAGGGTCCGTATGTAAACATCTGGTCAAAAGCCAGGTGTTTTCAGAGGGGCCACCATCTTGGTCCTACGATTTCGTGATGGGGGGACCATATGAGAACGCTCCAAACATGTTTTTCAGGTGGCGAAGAGTCTTTGACTTGCATTGACCCTTGCAACAAACCCAACTGATCGATCAAGATGCCAGTCACATGGAGTGTTCGAGCCTTTATGAGCTCCCCATGCTCCTCTGTCTAAACCACGCTGAGCTCCCCATCTAGACGTTGGCAAGTTCGCCACGCGTGTTGCCACACGCCTGGTGTGGGCTGCCTGGCCACGCTTGCAAAAGGAGCACCAGAGATGTTCCCAGCTATGAAGAGCTTGGAACGTGCGGAGTCAATGATTTGCTTGGAACTTGGAACCGAGAAAAGACATGATTCCCCCTAAAAAGGATTCACCCAATTCGCAAATCAAAAGAACATAGAAATGAGCCTAAGCAAAGCCAAGAAGTTTCTGGGCACGGCTTCTAGTTTACACTCGGACGAACCGATCATATGGTTGGGCGGATGGCACCCCCTGTGTAGAGGAAAGTGAATCACAGAGCACTACACCCTGCAGATGTCCAGAAAGCAGAGAAAAACAAGACCTTCGTACTCGGGGTTGCTGCCCAGCAGCTTCGGGTGGGCCGAAGCTAAGACAACCACCCCTAACGATTTGCACAACCATCTGTTGAGGGTTCTTGCCTGTACTGCCACGACCTGAGCCAACTCTCTTTGCAAAAACTCTCTGCCATGGATCAGCCAGGAAGGGAGCCGAGGGCACCAGTATGTCCAACTCGCTCTCATGCCGAGATGTCATCAAAGAATGAGGCCGAGCTGAGCCATCACTTCGTTTTGGTCTACTTGCTTGACTGAATTCGGTGTTTCATGGTGTTTCGTTGTGTCATTTTTTTGGAGTTAGACTTCTGCCCCAAGCTTGAACGCATGTCCGCCCATTCTCCCGCTCTCTTTTCGGAGAGCTTCGCCTCTGCGGCTGCCCATTCCAACATCCGCCTCGAGTCGTCGGGTGAAGGATCAGATCGGATCGGGGCACAGCTCTGGTAAAGCTGGGGCGCAAATGGATCGAGCATCGAGGACCCATCGAATCATGGGCTGTTGTTCCATGGAGGTCTGTAAGAAAGCCAGGATCGACCCGTTCTCCCTTCACCTGCGTTGGACCACGAAGAACCGTGAACACGTGGAGGTGTAGAAAACCGAGCGTTCGTCTGACCTGCTCGCAGGTCCATGCAATTAGGTTCCATGACGCTTTCCATGTAGGTTTTCCATGCAGGGTACATCGGAACCCGGCCGGTTTGGATGTCACCCCGAAAGGTGCAAGAGGGCAAGCAAATCGTCCGATCCTTTTCGAAAGGAGAGGAGATGATCTACCCATGGGTGATCCTCAACAAAAGAAGAAGCAAAAACCCCCGCCTCTGAACCCTCAAAACGTGCACACTGGCGGGTCAGGTGTGTGTCAGGTGTGTGTCAGGTGTGTGAAACACCTGACGTTTCACCTGAACCCTGCCCCTGGAATCCTCTGGACCTTCTTCTTCCCCTTGTTCATCCCCTTGCTCCCTCTTTCCATCGCTTCACGCGTCGCTTCACGCGTCGCTTCGGCCTCACGTCCTCATCCATTGCTTCGCTCTCCTGGCTGCTCCGAGCTGAACCGAGGTGAGCCTTTCGACAGCACAGCCACCACGCAGGCCACGCCGATGTGACCCTTGAACATCCATTTGTACGATGTGAATGATCGAAATTCACCATGCTCTAACCCATGCTCAATTGATTGCGCATTGAAGTTGGGCATGTGCCCAGCTGAAACGCCTTGCCGGCCCTGTGAGGATCCGCTGCCACCCTGTTGGCCCAGTTCCCATGTGGAGCTGACACCCGGAGGTGTGGAGAAGCAGCAGGAACAAGCCGCTCGGAAGTGGGGTCCAACCCGTTTTTCACATTAAAAAAACCTATATAACAAGTCCCATCCTGAACCGCTTTTTTCGCGGCCCAGGCTGGACACCACAGCAAAACCCCGCCGCATGGCTGCGCCGCGCCCGCCGTTCCCCAGCGGCCTTGCTGCACGTGCTGGGCACCGCATGCCGCACGTCGCGGACGTCGCGGCCGTCGCGGGCGTCTCCGCTCGCCGCACTCGGCTGGTCGGCCGGTCCACGGGCAGCGGAGATGCCCTGAGAGGGATGGAGGTTCTCTCAGGGTCAGATGGAGGGATGAAGGGCTCGAAATCAGTGGGCCAAAGTGTGCCAAAGGACCTACATCTCACCTTCGCTTTTTCAAACACACATGACTTCGCCCAGTCTCGTTGGCTCCATCTGGTCGGTTCTCGCAAGTTGATCCTCTCCTTTAGCCGCTTTTTCACACGTTCCGCGCTTGTCCATGCCAAACAGAAACCCCGCACTAAACGGCACCTTCTGCAGCTTCTTGGAGCTGGGCCGCACCGGAGCACCTCGTTCGGCCCGACTGTCGACCCGGACGCGTCGCACCGCGTCGTCGCGTCGTCCCGGCGTCCGAAGGGTCGGTGTTGGCCGGTGGAGTTCAAGTTCGGAATCCCTGGGAGTCAAATACTATAAAAAGAATGGTCTTTGGGGGACCTGAAAGGGAACTTCCTTTACTTCAGCCGGTCCAAATATAGTCTTTGGACTTCTAGGGGAATGGTTGTCGTCCATGTTGGTCATCTATACTGGGACCCTCCTGTCGGGGTGCCCTGTCTGGAAGCCGAACGGCCGGTAGTGTGGGGTAGTCCAGCCAGGACACCCCGAAAACGGAGGGTCCCGGTATAGTCCCAGCTTTCCGACTTGGCAACGAGATTTGGGCGGGGGGTTCGACCTGATCTGGTCTTCTATCTAGCCCACCAGACCATGACGTCAGAAATAGACTATACCGGCACCCCAAGGTGTCTTGAAAAGAGATGGGGGTCGAAGCACCGACTAGACTGTACCGACTATACATGAGTGACCTCTATGTTGCAGTCAAAAAACGTGGTCTTTTCCTATCAAAACAGAGGTCATATGGATTCTAGGTATATCTGTCCCATCTACTCTCACTCCGCTCAAAAAAGGTCATAAAACAAACAAAAGACCTGTCGACTGGCATATCTTTAGTACGTTCGGGGTGGTTGATTGGGAATCGTGAATATGCTAGTTCCATCGGGTCGGGTATGGACTATCCCAGCTCATGTTTCGGCTCGAACTCCTCCGTTTCGGCTCGAACCAACAGCAAATTGGGATCTCGCTGGGTGATGAAAGTCACTTGGATGGCCTAGACCCGGCTCCAAAACGAGCTGGAGAGTCCAATGGAGAGTCCAATGTTCAGAACGTGAGTGGTTCATCCCCATGGGCGCTGGTCGACATTGAAAGCTCAAAGAGCCTTAGGGAAGCCCCAAGCTTGCACGAGTTGCTCTCAGGCTTTTGTGTCTGAGACCTGCGGAAAGAATGAGACGATTTCAGGTTTGGAAAGTGACTTCTTTGCTCACAACCGGCCGCTGGTACTCTTTGAAGAAACATCCGTCACAACGAGAGAAAGACCACAATAACACACAAATACCAGGACCCTCCAAGGGGTGTCCAATGGACTACCCCACACTACCTATAGGCTTCCATTGGGCACCCCTTAGAGGGTCCTGGTAGATACCTGTAAAGACTGAAGTTTACACCCAGTTACTTCTTTGTTTCACATCTGCAAACCAGTCCGCCAGTCCAATTCTGAGACATCTCACGCTTGGATGGCGTTCGCTTGTTTCCGGCTGGCCCGCCCTGGCACGCTCCCGGCAGCGCTTGGAGCACCGACGCTCGAGGCAGAACGGTGGTGGACACGGGTCCAAGACGGATGTGCAAATCTGGAGTTGATCATGACATGAGAATATAAAGCCAGGAAGAAATCGACTAGAGTCTAGAGTGACTAGAGCCCACTATGCAGACTTGTTGGCATCGCTCTCAGATCAGTATGTGTCAGCTCCACGGAAGAAACATCGTCAAGGCCGAAGCTTGCATGTCTTTTCAGGCCTACCTGAGTCATAGATCATCTTCTTCCGCATCCCCTCCCCACTCTCACATGGTTTGCTCCAAATGATCCCCCGACCCCCGCTATAAGGAAGCCCCCGTTGAAGAAAAACGTGCCAAAAAAGCATAATTACCCAGAAGCTTCAAGAGACCGGGAAAAACATGTGCTGACTCATATTCCATCGAAGTGGGCATAGTTCGTTCGGAAGACGATTTCAGACCATCCCATGGTACCATGGGTGCACCCTGTCCGTCAAAAACCATAATACCAGCACCGAAACCTGCCAGGTCACCAATTGAAACCTGTTAGGGCCTAACACCCAACCCTCCATGTCGGAGACCTGGCAGTGAGGGGTGCTGGTAGGTCAAAACCCCAAGCACCATGGGTGTTCATAGGACTCCTTGCACGCAAAATCCCCTCCTCTCGGAGCCCTCCGTCGCTCACCGCGCGCAACGTGGTGCCTCTGAGACCGGAGAGCGGCGTGGGGCCGCGGAGGTCCGCCTGGACGGTCCGTGCTCCTTGATGGGTTGACCCCTGCTGGGGTGGACTAAGAAGAAGCCTTTTCGAAAGGGAGAAGTTCCTGGAACGACCTGGAACATCCTTCCTGGAACGTGTCTGGATCAAGTCGATGATCCGCCGTTTTTTTCCAAGGAAGCTTCCTGAATCCAGATTCGATCGGTGGTGTCTCTCTTGAAAGCCCATCGGAAACCGCTCATCATCAGGACTCCAAGACTATATATTTAGCAATACCAAAGTGCCTGGAGAACCAGCGGATGCTTTTCGCGGCCAGCACCCGAAACCTGCCAGGTCACCGATTGAAACCCTTTCTTCTTGGGCCACCACCCAACCCAACCCATCTCGGAGACCTGGTCAGGTCGCAGACCTGCTTCGACCCCTTCCGAAACGGGCCGGACCTCGGAGCGGTCCCCGCGACCGCGCCCGGAGTTTTCGGGTCGCGGGTCGCGGTGGCCTGCGGGGGACGCGTGCGCGGGTTCCGCGTGCGGGGGGACTGCGGGGGACGCGTTCGGGGGCCAGGTCTGGCCCATCAACCACCTGGTTTTCCCATGTGGTTTTGATGTGAAAACCGTGATTGTTCATGGGTTGGAGGGCCGCGTCTCTCAGGCACGACCTGGAAATGGGACACGACCTGGGTCGTGAAAAATGGCAGCAGTGGTTGATTGATTCATTTCAAGGGGTCAATGTAGGTCAATGTATACCCCAGTCCTATGGACTGTCTGGGTTAGAGACATCGGCTTTCTCGCATGCATGATGCCACACTTCTGCTGCGAAAAAAAGTTGAGAAGAATAGAGGAAGAGGAGCATGTAGGGCTCACTGAACGTCCAAAAACTATAGGAAACCCGACCTTTTGGAGAATCACGCTTCCCGACCATGGAATTTGAGGTGCAAAAATCCGCAGCTTCGGACACTGCTCGGAGGTATGACATCCGTCTCGTGCCTCCCCGTGTCATCCATGTACATCTGTCATCTATCTGCCAGCACCCTCACTGCCAGGTCACCAGTGTGGGAGACCTGTAGAGTCGGGTGCTGGTGCTTGGATATAAGGGCATTTTGCCAGCATAAACCATGTTCTACCATGTATGACAGCATATGACATGTTCGGTCACGCTTTGGTGCTCACTCATCTTTGACATGAAACCCCGGGTTCACCCCAACAGGATGCAAGTCCTTGCAAGCCAATAGAACCCCAACAGCCAGCTGTTTGGGGGGAGGCCAACCGATTTTCCACGCCATCGCATGACCGGTCCCTAACCCATCGTCTGGTTCCCCGTCCGAAGGTCCTCTGCGGTGGAACCTGGGTCCGTCGCCCTCCTATCTCTGCGGCCCGCGCCGGCGCGGAACGGGGGCCACGGGGGGCCGGGTCGCCTCATCCTTCCGTGGCGGAAGGACCACCAAGCCCAGGCGTTTCAAGCGCCTGGGCACGGTCGAACTTCGGGAAAAGGCGGAGGAAGGGCAGGAGCGGAGGCGGAGGCGGAGGCGGAGGAGAGGAAGCAGCCATACCAGGTAGGTCTGGTTTGCGTGTTTCGAAGAAAAAAGAATACCAGCACCTTCAAAGGGGTCACCAATGGAAGCCCCTACACTACCGGATCTCCATTGGACACCCTTGGAGGGTCCAGGTATATGTTCTTTTTTCAACATATATAAGCTTCCCTGTTCAAGATCCCGCAGGAGATTTGTTGTTCAGGAACCTGATGGTTTAAAAAGAAAATGTTAAGTTGAAGCTTTATATTGGCCTTCTCGGTCAACCAGTGATTTCTGCCACAGTGACTTGGTGTTTGCACCACTTGTCCGCACTTCCCGCGAAAAGCAGGCCCCTTTCAGATGACACTCCATGTCCCAGGACCCTCCAACAGGCTGTTTGGAGACCCTAACAGGTGGTTTCTGGGCACCTGTCGTCACCAGGAAGCACCTGTTCAAGAATGCTGGTTCTGGTCTGGGAAAAGCTTCTGTTTCTTCATCCGTCTCAGGATCCAAAGGTCCCACGCCTCTGGACTCCGAGCCCATTGAGGCCCGGACTCCGAGCCCGACTCCCGCGAGGCGGCCCTCTTCTGCGGCGCGGGAGCGACTGCGGCTCCCGCCGCCTCGCGCCTGAGCCGCGAACTGGCCGAACTGGACTGGCGGCCAGCGGCGGGAGGGGATGCCACACAAGCAAACACAAGGAAACGGTCCAAAAAAAAGGGATCGCACAACACACGATCGCTTCTAGGTTGGAGGCCATCACTAGTAGGTCGGAGGCCGTTGCTTTCTCTGCAAAGGGGGGCGACGTGAAAATTGCCACCCCGAGGTTTTCAACATATTGCTCTGTGAGCTCGTCGGACAGGTCCTGACCAGCTGTACACTGTATACCTTGGGTCTATCCTATTACCAGGGCCCAGTGGATGATAATGGTTCAGTTGCAGTTCTTGTTCAAAACGAGCGATTTGCTTGTGAAGCCTGACTGTTACAGGTCAGTTCAGACAGACCCAGTGTGAACCTCACAATTCCACATCCCATCCCTGCACGCATCGGTCCCCCGTTAAAGAAACAACCCAGACGCTCCGTTCACAGCTCGACTGGTCCCTCAAAACCCTAGGAATTTGAGGGTCCGGACCCCTACTTAGGAGGGTCCGGACCCCTACTTAGGAGGGTCCAGGGTCGCGTCTGGGAAGTACACTCGGCCCGCACATTCCCCCCCAAAAAAGATGTCCCCCCATCCATCTCCCAGTCGTTCCCTGGCCCCCTTCCCTTCTCCGACTGACCCGATGGCCTCACTTCGGGGGGTCGAAGGGACTCACCCAACGTGGCCTGGCCGCGCCCAACCGCGAGCGGAGGGGCGTCCTCGTTTGCCGATGCGGCGCCGCTCATGGAAGGAGTCGTGCGTCGGAGTCGTTCTGCGGGTGTTTTTCCTTCGAAAAGAAAGATCACTCAAAGACTCCAAACCAATGAGCACAAGCGAGAGCTGCCAGGAGCTGCACGTGCAGCGCAGGAGCAGTTCTTGAAACAAGCTCTGTATTGTGTGTTGGAGGTCTCCCGAATTGAAACACACGCCCATACCTCCTCACAGAATCCTTTATACAAGAGAGTCTGTACCGCTTTTGTGGTAGCGACTGTCAGGAGGTTTTGGCATTGGACATGCAACACGGCTTGCCCTTTCTGCCGCTGATGTGGACATAGGCGGACTTGGGTCTGATTCAGCGAGGAGCATCTAAAACTGCATCAATGTTAAAGTGAATCCACTCTTAGTACATCTTAATACTGTCTGTCTTGCATCGCTTTTGGTCTATTCCACTTGGTTTATTGCTAGACCGAACAGATCCTGAAGACCAACCTGAACACCCCGGACCACCTGGAGGAAGCCCTTCACCGCCCCTCTTGGCCTTGTTCTTGGAAGCCTTGAGCTTCTCACTGCTCTGCTTCTGTGTCTCCGGAACAGCGCCGGGACCGCTTCCCTGGCGCGCGGGGCCGGACACGCGCGGTCCGCCTCGTGGTCCCTTTGATGAGACCAGAAAAGGCTTTATCAGGCCAGCGACTCATTGAGTCAATGCATGGAGTCATGTGGGCTTCTGCGGGAGTCACAAACCAAAAGAGGCTTGTGGCTTGTCGACGTGTCATTCTGAATTCTTCATCTTGCTCGCTGCGCTCGCGACTCCTTCACTGCTTCACACCCAAAAAAAGGCGATCCTACAGGCTCCTGATCGCCCGAAAAAAGAACAACGAACCAACACCACGCCGCGGTGGCCGCCACGCCGTCTCCGCCCCGGAGTGGCCCGGTCGCCTTCTTGGAGCTGGCGCGCTGCACCGGAGAACCTGGCAGATCGGTGCCACCGGTGGCGCGCCGATCTGTGGCGCTCCCCGGTGGACATTCTGTGGACGTTCTTCTGGCGTTTCCTCCGAAGGGTTCGGAAGCTCAGCTCCGGTTTTGGCCGGGCTTTAAGGCTAAATCGCTGGGGGTCTCGACACCACACACCTCGCTGACACCGCTGTGGACGAGATCTCAACACCGCATCCGATCCGGCAACATCCTGTTGTATCACCTGATGAACCTGTGAACCTGATAAGGTTGGCTTTGGAGTGTGGTGACCGGGTCACTTTTGAGCGAAGAAACAAGGAGAAGAAGTGCATGGTGTCTCTCCGATGGTGTCTCATCAAGAGCCTCGAAGACAGGTGATTCTTGTTTCGGTCCTGGTCTAAACCACATGAATGCAAGGCAAATCCGTTGCTGAACCCCGCTGAGGCCGCCACGCTTCGCTGAAACCGGCCGCTTCGCCTCCCCTTCCTGGACCCGGCTGAGTGGGGTGGCAGTGGACGATCCGGACGATTCAAACCACACGTTGGAGCAAAAAGACAGGCGCCCAAAGAGAGGGGAAGGAAAATGAAAGATCTTTTCTTGGCAAAGCCGGGAAAAAGGAAGACGACGTCTTGAGTCTGGTTTCTCCTTCCGACTGGCGAGCTTTCGCGAGCTTACGTGGGTGGAAAGCTGACCAGCATTTGCACTAGACCGACTAGACCTCCTGTAGGCCTCTTCCTCCCCCAGAACCGGCGCGTTTGGGGTCTCTATTCATCGCCCCTGAGAGGTCCAGACTTTGGATGTCCATTCACCCAACTCCAGTCGGTCCAGGAAGTGGATACGGTAGAGCCAACCAGCGAGTGTGAAAAGAACCATGGCCAAAACCAGAACCACCCTGCCCAAAAGTGATTTCGAGCCGTGCGCGATCTGCGGAGCGAGGCTCACTGGGTCTCGCCCATCCGACTACCTCCACCCCACCCCAACTGAAAACAACTGCCACGGGACCTCGGCGCGACGGGCCTCGCCTCCACCGGCTGACGTCGCAGGCGCCTGGAGTCGCGGCTCGCGACCGGCGGATGTCGTCGGAATGCTCGGCTCGTCTCGGCTCGTGGCGGCTCGTGTGACTACGCGAGGCTGACCTGAAACCACCCAGGCGCGACCCTAGACCCGAATCCTTTTGGAGGGGTCAGGGGTCGAACCAATCCCTAGTTTTTGAGGGACCAAGGGCTGTTTGGAGCGTCGCATAGTAGATCCACGATTTCGTTGTATACAACTCAGTCAACTTGTCTGATCCCCAGTTTGGGCCCTAGAACAAAGACATTTGGGGCGAAACTCTCCAATCTCTGTGATCAAGCATACACTCAAGCATCAGTTCGTATCCCAACTCAGCCATGTGCCTTCGTTCAATTGTCAGTCTGGTCCCCATTAAAACATATTAACACCGGACCTGCTTTATATAAGTAGATGCTTTGGGGTCTATCGTATTACCAGGGCCCGTTTTGGATGATGGGGCCTGGTTGCAGGTTGCAGACCTTCCAAACTGATTTGCTGCTGAAACCCGACGGTCACAGTGCCAGGTTCGGACAGACCCAATAAGATGCGGTTGCAGCTTGTTGGAAACCTTACGCCTTCACGGACACCCCACGGACGCAGCCAGTCGGACGGGCGAATCCGGAAGCACCAAAACAATAAACCGTGTGTGTGTGTGTGGCTTGGTACTGAAAGATGTCCACTACAAATGCAGGGGTCCATGTTCATTTATATTTGCATGTGCGTTCAAATTCATGGGCACCTCCTTCAGGCAGAATGGCGGACTGGCGAATCCACCGGAAAAGGTCCGTGCCTGGTTCCAGACTGGCCGCTGGCCTGGATCGTGGAGCGCTTGAAGGAAGACATGCGACCCGTGACGGGTCACACCCGAATCATCATCCGGTTCGGGTTAACGAGCCATGGGAGGTTTTTGCACCTTCTCCACCGAAATGCAGGGTCCGGACCCGGTTCCCAAACCCTATAAACCCTACCAGCACCGAAACCTGCCAGGTCACCAATTGAAACCTATTAGGGCCTAACAAACCTCCATTTCGGAGACCTGTTGGTTTCGGTGCTGGTATGTGTTTGCGAACCGGACCTGGATTCTCAGGGGTGGTCAACTGCCCAGCTCTCATGAACAAACAGAAGTCCTACGGTCCTACCTGAGCCAAATGCACCCAAAGCTCATTTGGGAGGGAATCACATGTCTCCCGAACACCACCCGGGCTTCCCTTCACTTCAGATGGATCACACTCCAAAAGCCACCCAACACTGCCCGGTGAGCTCCCCAAACTCCGCGTCCGTGGCACCCTCAGGACACGTCGCACCATCGCGCCTCGTCCTTCGGTGGGATGCCCACCAGGCCCAAGCGCTTCAGTCGCCTGGAGGTACGTGGCGCGCGCCTCTCTGGCGGGAAGGGCTCCTCTAGATCACAGGCTGTTTTGGGACCCCTACCGCCCCTAAAGGGGTGGTGAATGGACACCCCTTAACCTCCAAGGAGGTATTGTTAGACATCCCTGACGGGGAGTTCTGCGCACCTGTCACCACAATGGTCCACCTGTTGGAGGTGTCCAGGTATTACTTTCAAATGGAACGACCTGATGACCTGTCGTGTCAAATCCGGGTGGTCAAACGGGATCAACGGCGATTGAAATCCGCGGGCCAGGAAGCCCAACGGCGCGGCGCATGGAGCGATGGAGCGATGAGCGAAGCCCAAAAACCGTCGATCCGCCCTGGCCTCTGACCGCCCCGGCCCCCCAAATCCATCCTGGAAGCGTCCCGTCTCCAAGGATCCCCACTCGGGTCCCGATTCCCGGGAGGCTGCGCGTTTTCGAAGCGTGGGCGTCTCGTGCCTGGCCGCGGAATCCAGAAGGATAGACCAGGAAGCGAGAGGAACCCCTCGATTGTTGGGGGAGCCACGGGGGGCCGGATCACGATCAAGCAGGCAAGTGTCGGGTAGACTGGGTACCACTATAGGTACCACAAGAAGGTATGCAGCTCTTGCATGGTGTTTTGAGCATTTCTGGTAGGTCTTGGTGCAAGTGCCCCCATTCCACAATGATTGGCTGTCCAGGAAGCCGGGAATATATTCCTGCAAACACAAGAAAACAATTTGTATTCTAAGTTCCGCCAGATGCTAAGTCCAACAAAGGCATTGAAACGACTTGCGAACAAAGAAGTCTATATTATCGGATTGATGGCCGATGTGCCAGCTACAGAGCAGTCTGGCCTATCCAGAACTCACACATACCTGCTCGACCGACCAGAAAAGTACAGCCCCCGCCAGAACTCCTGGCGAAATCATGCCAAAGACCCTGTTTGGCAAAACCTTTTGTTGAGCCAGTCTGACTAGCGAAAAGATCGAGGTCGCTCCCTCGAGGTCGCGCGCGAAATAGCGCGCTGGCTCCAAACCTTGATGAAACCTGGTGAAGCCTTCCTCTACATTGTACATCACAGTGGGCCACACAAAACTTCTCTTCTCTTGCCACCTCTCAATCCTCTTCCTTTCCTTCCACTTCTGTCCACTTCACTCCCCCCCAATGCAAAAAAGAGGTTCAGTGATAGTCTATAGGGCCTATGGGATCGTCTAGAGTCTATAGTATAGGGTTCTTCCACCTCTGGCATGCCACCCCCACCCCTCTTCATCGCCCACCCCACCCTCCATCGCCCGCGCCGGCCGCACCTGGCTCCACGCGCCTGGCTCCCCGGGCTTCCTGGACCACGTGGCCTGGCACAGGTCGAGCGAGCTGGTCAAGCTAGCTCCCCCAACCTGGTCGTTTGGATCCAGCTGTGTGTACACCTTGGACTCACAGGTGACCTTTTGGTGTGCGTTTCTTTTTTAATGCAGGGGGCAGTGATCAGAGTTGTACGTACTTTTATCTTCAGTGCATGGTTCGTTTGTGATTTTTCTTTTTTGGTGGAGGTGTTGTGCTGGAAACAGAGTGGTTGTTGTGTTTTTAAGCGGTAGATAGAGTTTCAAAAGGACCCATTGTTCTGCCAAAATGGACCATATATACTAGATACAGAAATCATTGCACGGTAACGTATATAAACCTGGTTTCCTTTCGTGGCCTCAGATGAGTCTCAATCTGAAGCAAAAATGCTTGCTGATGGAAGTGGTGCATTGGTTGAACTATGCATCTGAAAGATTGTTGCCAGGTACCAGTTCTGCTGCTCAGCTTCGAGCTTCACGTCCAAACCTCCCCACCAACTCTGACGAAAACCAATGAAATCGCTGAGTCCAGAACACGTGTTGGATTGGAAAATAGAAGACATGGAACAAACACGGATTTGGACAGGACAACTCTGGCAGCATCAGTTTTTATGTGGAACAAGGAGTGGATACAACTGATATACCCAGGAAGAGCCAGAATGAAAACGTCCGAAACATGTGAACTCACCCCATTAGAGGCCCAGTGGACTAGCCAGGCTGTTTACGTCAAAAAGCAACACTCACCAAATACTCACAGTTCTTCACACACCCTCACTTTCCACAAGGACTCATGGAAAAATTGTGCACTCTTTTCCCCAAAACAATAGAAAGAGTCATTTTGACCTGTGCAGACCCTCGCCATTATACGAGAACTGTTTTTCTCAAATGAACCCAAACCAACCAGCCATGATATCGAAAGCGGATGGATATTCTGACGGGTGCAACTCGCAAGGATTGAGGAAATGGATCCAAAATACATCTTCATAGTTCAGGTTCATTCCCTCATTCCCTGTATTTTTTGGGAAGACCCCTCATTCCCGCCCTTCCGGGGTCGACCAGTCTTCGCAGGGTGAAGTCGAAGCATTCCAAAAAAGATGCCTTGACTGAACAACCATGGTTTTATCCCCACAAACATGGGAATGTGTCGTCGTTCCGGTTTCTTTTCTTCCCATGTCATCCGAAGGTTGTACTAAGGATTTACACGACAAAATCAGTTCAACCATGTTTCGCCCAGTTCAACCGACTTGGGATCCGGATCCGGCCTCGGTCGCGTCCGGCGGCTGGTGGCCGTCCTGGCGGTGCCGCCGCGAGACGGGAGCGGTTTGGCGGCCTCTGGGGCTGTGTTGATTCGAAGCTATAGGAAACCCTGGTTGGTCCATCCAAAACCTCGTTCTTTTTCCGGAAGACCAGCAAAACATGGTGTTTTATGTGAAAATCTGTATGTTTCATGGGTTTGAGGGCCGCTGGCAGAATGAGTTTAAGGGAAAGTATACAGAAACATCTTCGGGAAACCCATAGGATCATGGGGAGCGAAAACGCAATCTGCTGGATCGATGTTCCCTGCAGACCCATCCATTCAGGATGACATGTTTCTGCCTTCCTCATGGAACGTGGGCGGTTGGCCTAAGGGCCAGAGCCCAGGGCGACCACCTAAGGGCTCGGCCCAAACCGGATCGGACCACCTGGGGATTGGGTCTCCCTATATGTGACTGTGGTCTGGCTGCCAACGTCGGAATCTCGGAGTTTTCGCCGAACATCGCCTTCCTTCCACAGCATTGAAGACATGGCAGCCAGACCACGTCCCGACCACGTCCTAACATCGAATGAAGGCCTTTTGGCCACCCCAAACCGAGGAGGTGAGCTTGTCAAGCCTGTGGTGATTGGTTGATCGTGGCTGAAAAAATCGCACCGAAGGATTTCTACAGGCACCATCCAAAGGGCAAATCTAACCACCCAACCATCATAGTCAGCGTTTCGCGGCATCCATCCCTCTTTCTCTCCCAATCCAAGCCCAGCCCTTCTATCACAGCCGACCGAAGACGAAGGGTCCCCAGAGGCTTCCCCTTTCCTTCCAACCCGCCACACATTCCCTTCGCGCGCGTGCCGGGGAAGTACGACGGATAGGGCCCGCCAGCCCCAAACCACGCGACACGCCACGCGTGGGACGCGCCACGCGGGTCGGGCCGATCACCTGGACTCACAGCTGGGCGAAAGCTTCTTTTCAGACCTTGGCGACGCGACGCGGACGACTCGCGGTGCGCGGCGCGGGTCCGGTGGATCGGAAGCCAGGCGAGAGGCACGACTGGCGGCCGGTATAGGGCGAGGGGGTGGTGCATGGACACCCCGAATCACCTCTTGGAGCTATGACACCCCTTAGGGCCTTGGGGGGCCCTTTGGTACTGTAGCGGTGTGTTTGTTCGATAATCGAGTGCTTTTCATCTTGTTTCATGTGTTTCGATTCGAAAGGGTCCAGATTCTGAGACCCTTGCTCTGGTGAAACGCTGAGCGTTGGGAGTTGCCTCTAAACCTTCTAAGCCACCCTCTGGCGGTTGCCTCTCACACACGCTTTTGGGTCAGAAACGACCTCCTCGCGATCTGGCGGTGGTCTCCCAAACAGAAAGGAGCGGGCTCCCCGGCGGTAAAACACCTGGGGGGTGAAGAAAGGAAGCGAGCGGTGCGAGAACGTGGCAAGATTATGCCTGCATGCAACAAATTGAAAAAGTATTCACCATGTATGATTCACCTATCTGACCTATCTATAAGATCTATAAGTGTGAAGGAATTCACCGCAATCATTGAATCATTGGTCTTGGCCTAAGTAGATCAATAACAGGTTCGACAAGAATCTTCCAGGACCTTCAAAGTGACCTTTTTGGAGTCTCTAAGTGACAGGACACAAGGCAAAACAGGGTCAGATCCTAAGGTCAGCTTGCCACACCGTCCACTCTCCGATTACAAGGTGCAAAACGAATCCCCGTGCCCCAAGTGGTAAGTTGTTCTGTCCATTTTCCGACTGGCGTCCATATGTCCCCCCATGGCAGTGAAAACCCCTTTCGCAGCACCTGAACTGGGCGGAGGATGCGCCTCGGCAGCGCTTGCACGGCGCTTGAAAGTGCATTGTGGGCGATGTGTCACCAGCAGAATGAGAGGCTGGGTTCAAAGCAGCATCATGTATATAGGTGTGGATTCCACGAGGGAGACGCTGGGTTTCGGTTCGAGAAATAGACCAGTCAGTCTACCCAGCCAGGGCCAGCAGGGGGGGGTCCGTATTCAAATACACACCGATTCTTGATCATATTTTCAACCCCGGGTCTGACCGACCAGGTCTATACCCAGCCACCCACTCACACCAAAAGCGCGAAACCACACACCTCTCCCATTCCAGGGTGCGTGGCCTGTACCCCTCGGACCCCGAAGCCGATTGCACCTCTGCTGTCCGCCACACGCTTGTTCGCCGCGCCGGCCCCTGCCTCGTTGGCGCCCTTGGCAGGCTTCATGGGCACATCGTCTAACCTCGGAGATGGCCGGATCGGCGCCTCCGGTGATTTCGTCCCATTGGCTGGTAAAGAGCCAGGGATCATACGGGAGATGTGCAGGAGAAAGCTGGCCCCACCGATGACGCGACCGTTTCGACGGGCGCGTTTCCAGGCACAGAGAGCTGAGCGGACACACCGTGCGCGTTTTTCCGCGCGAGCACCCGAGTGCCACGAGTGTCATTCACGCCACATCCCTCGTGGACGGTTCCAAACATCAATCCTGGAGTTTGTAGAAAGGAACCTTCCAAGCCGGCGGCCCTCTCGAAAATCATGGTTTTCACATACAAAACCATGTTTTTGCTAGGGAAAACCTGCTAGAAATCTCCTTCCATGATTCTTGCTTGCACCATCCCAGCTCAATCATACAGGCCTTACTGGACTGCTGCTCCCCACGGGCAAAAATCTTTGATCTTGGCTGTTCCAGAGTCTCAGAGTCAGCCGACGGCACACTCACAAAACCACTTTTTTGCATTTGTTGCCCAAAAGAAAAATCTTCAGACACCCTAAGAACATCTTCAGACACTCTAAGAATCCTTGGACCTTCTCCACCGAAACGCAGGGGGGGAAACCGGACCGAGTTCCCCAACCAGACCATGCGTTGCGTGTCTTGGCCCTCTGAGCCCTGAATGTCTCAACAACTCTGAGAAAAGCACGTAGAAGGCCTAGCCCGCCCTTCAAGCCCTTCACCCCACGTGATTCTCCAGGTCTGCCCTGGTCGACTCCGACTCGGGCTGCCCGAACATGCGGAGGGCCTCCCGGTGCAGCGACTCGGCGAGCGAGGCCTCGGGAGTGACGAAGACATGGGATCCGTGAGGTGAGAAGCAGCACAACCGACGTGTCTCGTGTTTCGTCAGATGTTCCCATGGTGGTTCGCATCAGATTCACCTATTTGGGGGGAGTTCGACTCGCCTCGGAGGTTCATAGGGACCAGGGACTGACTCTCAGACACACCCGTGAGTTCCCGTGGTTTTGGATGTTTTGCAAGACAGGGACCAGGGGCCTTCGAACGTTCGACGTCTCTGCCGAAAGGGAAGAGCTGGGCAGTCAGATTGAAATCTCTGTTACGCACTGTTTAGTCGAACAGGGTAAACTATGTAGCACTTCTAATGTGAATTCGTCAACTTTCTTTTGGCACCACAACCAAGTACGGTCGGTATCTTTTCTTCAACCTGCCTATTCAATCTGCCAGACAGCTGTGCTCTTTGGTGTCCTTGACAACACAGCCTCTTGAAAATACCCATGTAGGATCTCACGTCAATCATTCATCGGTCACCCTTTGCTCCCAGTGCTGAGGATCTCACCACCAAAGGATGCCGGGTCCGCTTCACATCTTTCTCAGCATCCGTCTCCTACCGAAGAATTGATTGGCGAAATGCCGAAAACTTGACCCATGGAATCTTCGAGGACCAGCTCCCACGAAAAGGGCCGCAGTTGATGAAAGCTGGGTTGAGAAAGCAGGAGATCTGGCCGGAAACCCGTCATTCTCAATCGACCGAACTCGTGGGGAGACCAAAGGACACAGAAAAACGAAAGTAACCTACTCAGCTACAAATAGGAATTCAGTAGCTCGTTTTAGGTAGCTCTACTCAGCTACTATACTCGCCATACTCACTATACTCACCTACTCAGCCACTCGTTTTTCGAGAGCGAATTGAGTATCGTGAAATGTAATTACGTCATTCAGGAAGCCTGCAGCTGTTGTATTCAAGCGAGAAATCTGTGTAGAAGTCACAGGAGAAGTCCTCTCCGAGTCCAATCAACACGCTACTGAAGTAAACTTCTGCATCGCAATCCTGAAAATAGGTGGGGGTCAGAACTAGTCAGAACAACGATCTTCGAAGCACCGCACCACTCTACAAACAAGGGGGGTGGTCCACTCCACTTCCATGTGTCTTGGAGGGAGGATGTTCAAACAACCTCGAAGGTGGCTCGCGCTTTGACCGTGTTAATCGCACACGGCACGTGGCTTTTAGCCGGGTACCGATCGCGCACGTGAAAACATCAGCGCTCACGGGCGGCCGTTGAGTCAACGGCCGGTATGGAGGGAAGAACCCAGGGCTCCTGGTGGAGGTGACTAAACCCTATAGGGCTCCTGGCCCATCTCCTCAGGTTCGGTGGTATGTGACCCCCATGGCACGAACCACCCGAACCACCTGACCTTCGAAACGGAGGTCGGCCAGCAACCCAAAATAACCCAAACGGGACAACATGAAGAGAGCCTCCCCCCACACGTCACCCGAAACGGCGAACTCCGGCACCATCCGGACCGGGAGAAGCGGAGGGCTTACCGGGGTGGCCGTATACCGGGCACGGTGGCCAGGACGGCACGTGGGTTCGCTCGCCGGGGAGCTCACGAGCGGTCCGTCCGTGGCCGGAGCTCCGTTGCCCGTCGTCCTCCGTTTTCAAGGAGTGGAAAATGCCGCGGAGCTGAGCCTCGCAGCTGGGCGGAGCTGGAAGCGTGCGGGAATTTGGGGAGACCGGTAGACGCTGAAGGGCCGAGAAGGGAAGAAGCATCAAGGTCCAGGCATTCTCGAGAAGGGTTCGTTCCCGGGTCACATAGGGTGTGTGTTCTTCAGCATCCGGGTGCAGCTCTAGAGCTCAACCCAAATGTAACCGAAGGACAAGACCTTTGGGATAGATTCAGAAGTGCCGCCAAAGGATCGACATGTCTCAATAAGTTTATGTCCTTTTGCATGTCAACCCAGTGTGCACGTGGCTTCTGTTGTGGCAGATAGCTGGGGGGTCGTCTTCTTTGCGGAAAAAAGAAGCAGAGCCCAGCATGCCCAGCCAACTCCTTTTTTCAGTGCTTATGGAGCCCAGCCAACTCCCCTTTCCTGACAGACCCAGCCAACGACCCCCTTGGAAGAAAGACAAATAGACTCGAGGGGCCCACGGTTTTGAGGGCCACCACTAAAACAAACGCGTGAGAAAGTGCTGGAACAACAACAACAACAACAACAACAACAACAACAACAACGTGTTACAAACAATGATGCACTTCAAAGGTCCCGCCCTTCCCATCCATCCGGCGCAGTAGTGCCCTCTCCCATCTCGGCTCCCGCCAGAGCGGAAGTCGCTCTACCCGTCTGCTCTACCCATCTGAGTTCTCCGCTGTCAGCTCTCGCATACTATCGCAAAGGGCCTCGGACGCGCCGGCGCTCGACCCGGGCCTCCGGTGAGTGGGCCTTGGGGGAACCGGTCCACCGTACGGTAGGTCCAGACCACCCGCAGAAAGAGAAGACCATCAGGATCTCAAAAGGCTTTTCCAGAAGGACGATGGGGCCGGGTTAGTTAGTTGGCCTTTCTATCCCTAGAATCGTGAGTTGCTGGTTGACCCTTCCTGCTACAGGTGTCCGAGGACAGAATTCCATCAATCGCCAGGGCATTTCCCCCCGAAGGAGCCGAGCCCAAAAACCTATTGGTCGTTCCCGGGCCCTTCCAACCAACCAAGGCCTCTCCAACTGGTTGAAGAACCCCTTTTGCACTATCCCAGGTGACGTGTCCTTTTTCGGGTCACGTAATAACCTCTCTTGGCTGGGCCCAAGCATGAGCTGCAACTGACCCCACGTATCCCAGACACTCCATGGATGCGATATTGGCCGACATTCGGGGCGGTTGGGGGGGGAGTGAAGGTAGGCATATACCTGGATCGTCCAACTGTGCAAGGTGTCTGCCTGTTCATCAAAAAGAGACAGCCCAAGGCATGTGCACAGTTGGAAGATCTAAGTATGGCATATATGGAGTGCCGGGCACTGCTCGAGTTCATCAATCGGCAGAACTTCCCCTTATGGCATGGGGTCAATCTATGTGGGTTGGCCTGGCGGAAGCGGGCTAACCCTGGAGATTCTGTTTTTTCACCCATGGCGCAGCAGACCCATCAGATCAAGTGGAAGAGTGGTTTCAACAAAACGAACTTGAATCCTCTGTTCGTCTTTAGAAAAATCTGACGCCCTTGAATGTGAGCTCAGAATTCTCAATTATTGGCAGTCGTATCTTTGCACTTCCAATTGCAAGGAACTATGACGATGTGCAGTAATTATGTCTTGCCAACGGGCAGAATTCCAAACATGCTCATAGTTCTACCCAACAGAGTACAAGGGAAGCAAGCATGGAACCGATGAAGGACAATCATGGACGATCAAAGGAACCAATGAAAATAAACGGTTGAGATCTGAAGTCTGGGAGCTTGACCATGGCTTACTGATTTGAGTGTTTCTGCTGCTGACTATAGGATTACTGTACCCGGTCGCCTTCAAAGACATTAAAAGAATGGTTGTCCTTCACCTCCCGCATTTCCGACACTCGGCTCTGCATTCCGACCTCCAACCCCAGCAGAGCCCGGTGCTCACACGGCCGGGTAGGGGCCCAGAAGTCATGTGATCGCAGGGTTTTTCCTGGAAATGCCATCGCAAATGCAGGGTTTAGGGTTAACCCTTTTCAGCGGAACTGCGCAAAAACCACCTTCCTGGCGCCCCAAGATTCGCGCATGGACCACAGGTGCTCAGTGTGAAACTCATGACGAAGTAGAACAGGAGCTCAGTTCCGGCTCCAGCTTCCTTCCATCAAAGAAATCAACAAGGCAGTGGCCGTCCTCCAGCTTCTGTCAACAATTGCACAACTTTGCGGTGGCCCTTCATGGCTGCAAACGTCAAAGCAGTTTCTCCGATTCTGTTTGCTGCATCTTTGGTCAGCTCCGTCAAGCTTTTGAGCTTTTGTCGACAATGGCGCGCACAACTTTGCGGTAACCGTTCTGGTGTGCAATCATCAAAGCAGTTTCTCCATTTCTGTTCATGACATCTTTGTCAGCTCCTGCCTCCAGCAACATTCGCACAACTTTCAAGCGATTGTTCTCAGCTGCAAACATCAGAGCCGTTTGCCGATCTTGCGTTGCTGCATCTTTGTCAGCTCCAGCCTCGAGCAACAACCGCACAACTTCCAAGTGGCCGCTCTCAGCTGCGATCATCAAAGCTGCTGCCCCAAGTCCTTTTGCTGCATCTTTGTCAGCTCCAGCGTCTGTCAACAATTGGACAACTTTGCGTGAGCCGTTTTTGATTGCAATCATCAAAGCTGTGTCTCCGAATCTGTTTGCTGCATCTTTGTTAGCTCCAGCCTCGAGCAACAATCGCACAACTTCTAAGTGGCCATTCTTTGCCGCAACAACCAAACCTCCACCATTTGGGTCCTGCGGTCTTTGAAGCAGCCTTTCAACATCAATCAGATTGTTTTCTCGACAACTGACAACTAGTTCTTCCTCCGCAATCTCATCAGAAACACAGAAAGGCAGAATTACCAGCTGTACAGACGGCAGTGGTCTCAGAGGCATGTCATCCTGCAGTTCGACTTCGTCACTGAAGAGTCTTTGCTGAAACCTGGAGCACCCAACTTGAAAGGAGAGGAGTTGCTTTAGATCACGAATGGATTTCCCACGTTCCACCATGTAAAGGAACTCATCCTCATCAAGCTCGGCAACTGTTGTCCCGGATAAAGCCCTGACCTGCATCATTGAGATTCAGAAGCGAGCGATACCAGCTTGAGCCATGGTCTTCAGTTCAAGTCTGCCAAAAAAAATGAAAGACTTAAAAATAAAAATAGATTATTTTTTAAAAAAAAAGAGTTCAACAACTCTGTTGGAGGGTCCAGAGAAGTTTCACAAAGTATCCAAGCAACATGATTTCATGAAGATCATCTCTATTCAAACTGGATTGGTCCTCTCCACCGCTTAGCCCGAACGCAAAAGACCACCCCGCGCGCTCGCTCAGCTCCCGGACGACCAACGGATGGCCCGAGCTCTGATGGTCCACATCCGGGTCCTGGCGCGAAGGTACGCGATCGCCACGGCACAAAGAGAAACGGCAAGTGGCGAGGGTCACCCTCCAGCCACTTGGTGGTTCACTGCATGGTCGAAAAAGCGACGAACGCCTCCGGCGGGGGTAGAGGACGCGACGAACGGAGCTCCTGGCCTCGGGCCATCGCGACTCGAAGCGGAGCGATCGGGACGCGGACGCGAAAGGAGCTCCTGGCCTTACTAGGAGCAAGAAGCTACAGCAAAGGGCATCGCTACTGTTTCGCCATCAATCTTGATGATCTCATGACTCTTCCAGCCACAAGGCCCAAGGAAGGCCCTTGCCATGGCGGCCCCCATGGCCGTGGGCTGGCCACGCTGTTCGCGCGCGCCCGCGCGTTCGCGCGGAGGTGACCACGTCAGTCCTCATGACTGAGGGAGTGGTAAATCCCACGTAAGTGGGCCTGAATTGGAACGAGCGATGACCACGGCGATGACACAGCGATGACACGCGTCGCGTCTGGGCGTGCCCGACCCGATGTGCTGCCCAACATGTGCCCGGAGCAGGTTCTGTGCAAATGAGGGCTTGCGACTGTTGCTTGAGGGGATGCTGTTCCCAGGGGGGAAGGGTGGGGTCCGTGCCAGACCTTCTTCATCTTCATGATGCTCTGACCCCCAAGAAAAAACTCAGAATATGTTTTGGATATATGAGGTTCTCATCCAGCTTCTAGGTTGCCCCTCGAATTGCTATAATTCAGCATGAGACAAACCATGGCCTCCAAAGACCAAGATCAAACATCACTTCAGCCAGTCACTGAGGATGCGACCGTCAGTTCGCGCATGTTGTCACATAGGGCCTGCCGTGCTGTGAGAATGACGGCGACGGACTTGGATCATCCTGAGAAGGCTTCCACCAGATGGCTTGGCTCCAATTGTGTGTGTGATCAGATGCTGTGAGGAACTACTCCCAATCTGATGAAACTCTCTGATCTGTCTTGGTGCATTTCTTTGGAAGAGAAAGGTAGGCAAAGCGAGCTCTCACTTCACCCTGCAGTGCACCGTGGGCATCACGGGCCCTCCTGGACCCCCTGCAGGTTCGACTTCACCACCCAAACCGACGCGTCGGACGGGTCCCCATGCACTCGCAGAGCTCGCTTGGCCACCTTTCTCACCATCAAAAGACCCACAAAGACCCATGGTCTGCACTGACCAACGTCACGTCATGGAAAAAGAAGACGTCGATTTGGAGTTGCCTGCGGACTGCTGCTCCGAGCCCTCGCCAGGCTCGGCTCCGTCCGCGTACCACGCTCCGACCGGCACGGCGCCACGGCGGGGTTCGGCCTGCCCAGCAGGATCCACCTCAGGTTGACCAGGTCTCCGGGGCGCCGGACTCCGGGGCGCCAGACGTCCAGGTCCGTGCGGGTTGTGCCTCCTGTGGTTGGTGTTCCTTCCGGGACTGCCCGGAAACAGGTGTTCTTTTGGTTCGTGCGCTTGTTGTTTTTATTGATGTTCTTTTTCGACAGGAGAATTAAAACAAGAGCTCCCGTCCGCCGATGTAAAAGCAGTCTGGTTTATGAGGCCTTTTCCATCATCTACATTAAGTGTATAAAGGCTTTTTGACGTGGGGCACCTGTGAAACTTCCTCAAAAGAACCAAAACACACACGGGCTGAAGACCCATCTCTGACCCGTGGTCCGCCACAAACGGATCCAGTCTGAGACCAAACCGTTGAATGCTGCTCCCCCTGGGAGTCCACTGTTTTGACCCGATGTCAAGAAGTAGGAACTTCGCTTCGGTGCTGATGTCTGTGTTCTTCACTGCACTTCTTCTCTCGGTTGGGCAACGGTCGGCCAGATGGAAGAACCTCCCAAGCTCCCAGTCTTCCCATCTCCAAGCTCCCAACAGGCACATCCCATGCTGTTGGATCCTGGAAGGAGACTGCACCCAAACCGGACCCGTTGACGGAGCTTTGATGTCCGGTTTTTGCTGTCTGCCCAGAAAGCATCAAACCGGACCTGTTTCCGTCTATAGTCTGCAGCTCTTTGACCCACCCTGAAAATGGTGTGATTTGGACCCTTGGTTTGGTGGTCTTTTCCACTACAGCTCGCAAACACAGGACACTTCTCGATGCACTGGCCCGCGACGGAAACCAGCTGGGTCACCGTCCCAATTCAATTGCTTGTGTGCAGTTCCTGCCTCTCTTCCGAAGCTGAATGGTTAGTCTTGGGATATCCGGCTGAATGGGTTGTAGCCCAAAACAAAGTGTCAATGGTCCTCAACATCATCGCAACTTTTGCTGACAGTACTCGTCCGTAATTCTCCGATGTTGTTTGCAGCCAGCATTGCAAATAAACTTGACCTCTTCCGCGGTTTGCACGTTTGCCCCTCAACCCCGGTCCTTGTCCTCTAGGCTCTCGCTCTCTGCCACAATCCTGCAAAGGGTCGCAACGGTGACAAGGCACTGGACGTGTAGCGACTGCAGGATCTATATGGATCTATGCTTCTTGACACCCCAATCTGAAAGCTTGCCCTAGCCTTCAAGACCCCCAGACGTAGCTACATCCCAGGACAAAAACCGCTGAGCAGAACAAAGCATCGCCCAGGGACAAGATGGGTTGCGGCATGCTACTCAGGGACAACCTCGACAGCCACGAAAAACAGCCTTTCGAGATTCTCATGCGTCCCAAGTAGTGAGTGGCATGAGAAAAAAACCAAGGAGCATTTGCTACAGAACAGATCTGTCAGCTGCTGTGGGACGCATGTCAGCTGTCATTCCGCTCGCCCTACCAGTCGTTCGGCTTCGGCTTGGCTTGGCTTCGACCTTCGGGCCGGTCGGCGGCGGAGCCCGGTGGCCGGTGTGGTGAGGCCCCGCCCTCCAATCCGCCGCTGGGCCGTCTCGACCCGGTCCTGCTCGGTGGGCAGAAGGCAGTTGCATTGGCCTGGAGTCGAAGGAGTCGGTGCGGCAGTCTGTGGAGATCGTGGACCCCGTGGACCCCACGTCTGTTGACTGAGCAAAGTCGAAACACGTGCAAGTCCGGGGTGCGGAACGAACGGAGGAAGTCAAGTGGGTGCCCCTGTCACATCCACAGCCCCTGGATAGAGCTAAAGACCACCCTTTGTGACTCCTGGATTTGGGGAACATTCTGTCCTTTTAGGGTTTTAAACAAAGAGCACGTTTGAGTCATGTCCAAACGACCGGAGGGTTAGTTTGTGGTCTCTCATCACATTCTTAAAGCAAGTGTAGAACTTGATTCGCCTTGTTTCACCAAACCCCTCTTTTCTGGACTTGTGCAACCTCTTCTTTTCTGGGTGGCAGTTTCTTCTTGTTCTCCGCCGTCTACCTTTGCAGAGTCCCATCGCCGCGGGCGGCGAGCTCGCTCGTGGCGTCAGGTCGACGCTCGTCGGCCCGACGACCGTCACTCCGCTGACCCGGAGTTAGTCGGGACGTCCAGTCCTGACCTCCGACCTTTTGGTCCTATTCTTCGAGTGCTTTTTGGGGATGTTTTTCTTGGGGTATGACGAAGGTTGGGTATTTCATGAGCTCCGGAACCCGGAACTGGTGGGGTATGAACTTGGGCTCCAGTCATAGACCTCCGTTTCGGTTCCAATGGGAGAGGGGGCCCCGGGTGCCAGGTCCAGTCACACCGAACCTGAGGTTCGGTACAACACCTGAGCCCCAACGGGATAGAAGTCGAACGTCCGACCCTGTGCAACTCTGGCCATTCCTTGTCCATCGCCATCGCACCGATGGACTGGTCAGCGCCCCGCCACTCAGCAGGACGGAGGAAGGGGGGGGTGGGGCTCCAACTGTGGCGGTCTTTTCCCTTCGATCGGTGCGAAAACGGCCCAACACCCACAGTTTCCTGCCACGAGACATGGACATCAACCACCAAGCGCTCAGAACAGAACAGACCATTTAAAGAGAATGGCGGGACCTGGTGTGACAAAACAGCAAAATCCTTGAGAAAAACAGCTTGGTTCGGTCGAAAGCTATTCAACCAATGGTGGGCATGGTTCCAGCCCTAGGGTACCAGGGTATACCAGGTGTCTACAGGTTTGTCCCTAACGTGGTCGTCCCAAAGCAACCACTTTGTGAGGCTCTGAGCATCACTCATCTGCAAAATCTAGTGAGTCTATGTATAGGGTCTAGTGGCCCAAGCGAAGTGCATGTCAGCACCTTCTTCAAGTGAACTGCAAGAAGAATATGCGTCTCGATTTGCAGGTGACCCACTTCCGCGAGCCGCCATTTCTCCCCTCGCCCCCGCGTGGACCCCATTCCCTTTCCACCCGAACCCCCCCCGCCCTCTGACCGCCTGAAGTCCGCCCGCGTTCCACGCGCTCACCATCGGCGGAGTGAAAATCTCGGTGAAAACCAAACAATCATTGATCCTTCAGAGCCGACACCATCGCAAACATGGTGGAGATGTCCATCACCGAGTCACCAGTCCAAAGCCGTGAGAAGCCGGTCCGGTGAGCGTGTGAGCGTGAGGTGTCGTGGCGTCCGGTGTTTCGGAAGGTCCAGTCAACTACCAGCACCGAAACCTGCCAGGTCTCCTAGCCTTGGAGGGTTGGGAAGGGCCCGAATTACAGGTTTCAATTGGTGACCTGTTGGAAGTCCAGTCTATTTGTCAAATGGTCTGACGCGGTGTTCCCATGTCAGGAAGGTCCGAAATCCTGTGGGGCGAAAGATAAGTCGAACTGGACTTCTACCTGCTACCCTGATAGATACCAATTCCAGTCCAGGATGCTAAAAGATAGCTTTTTACAAGTTCTTGCAACATCTACGTCCATCTTGTGAATTCACGTCCTTTTAAAAGCCTGAACGTTTTTTCACGTCCAAAGCCTGAACACTATTGATATTTTTGAGTTATTTGAGTGTCGTGCAATAGACCAAGTTCAGGGATTACGGTCAAACACGTCCCGGACAACAATTCTCGTCCTTGCATACCAAAAGACAACAATTAGCGACATGGACAACAAAAGGTGGTTATAAGGTTTAGCAGGTAGGGAGAATGTACCATATACCTCTTGATTGTAGATGAAAAACTCGGGCATCTCCTCTAAAAATTCATCAACCGTTAGGACGAAAAGTTGGAAAATACAACACCTTCGCTCCAGGGCGTGGCTTGATCCTACCAGGTGTGGATACAGGAGCTCTTCCTGGAAGTCTGGTGACGTCTGGTGCATTCAGAGACTCATCCAGAAATGCGCGAGGCGAGTTGGTTGAGCACTCCTCCCGATTTCGGTCTCGAGCGAGAGATGTACTCCAGCGGCTGAGCACGGGCGACTGACTTAGCCTTCCACTCTACGTCGACGTCAACCTACAGCGGAAATTGTGGCAGTGCGATGGCTCGAGGACACCGGGGATGGCGCCTCAGAGGCCCCCCCCACTGCAACTGCACGCGTGGATCCCCATCAATTCAATGAGATGGCATCAGACTTCCAGCCCGAAAGTTCAGAGATGCCCCAGGTCCCATCCAGGTCCATCCAGGTCCCAAAGAGTGATCTGACAGCATTCATTTTTTCCCAAGAATTCACTGGATTCTGTTTCTTGTGAATCTTCGAACTCAAAGCGGATGAGTCTCAGGATGAGGATTTATCGCTTTTGAGCTAGTGGTGGTTTGAACACCAAATCTCCTGGTCCTTACTCCTGCACGCAGGAGCTCGACTCTAATTACTGTTCTGTTGCTCTACTGCACCACGATGGCAAATGGTTACAGGATGTCTTCCATAATACCATGACCATAGGAAACAACCGTCATACACTTGGTCGTCCTGCCTGCAAAGAAGCGCTACCGTCTCTTTTTCGTCGCAAGCAGGTAGCGCAGCAAATTCATGTAAAAGCGGCTTGAAACAATCCAAAAACAGGGCCGATCCTCTTCCAGGTACTTCCTGTCCAGTTCAACCAGTGGTCACATCCCCTCTTGGGTGGTGAATCATCCCTGCACAGGAATGACCCGAGCTTCTGAAGCTGAGGATCTCAACTGCCCCAAACTGGGCCGCGAAAGAAAAAGAGTCCTTCGAGGCACAACATCCCCTTCGGGAGCCGCGCCCACGGAAGCCGGTCTCTACCAAGCCCACAAAAGCGCTTGCTCGATTTGGACGGAAGGTTGAGGGATGTTTGAGCTGAAGGTCGAGGGATTGAAAGTTCAACCACTTGGGCTCCGGGACGAAACCGGATCTGCAGGTCTCTTAGCAGGTCTCAAGCCTTCTATTGAAGCCTGTAAAGCTGTACAAGAAAAAATTCGGACCCTCCGCACCAGCGGTCAGCTTGGCTTGGAGGGTCCCAAACTTTATCCCATCCCTTTCCTCTCAAGAAGCACTAGCACTGCACAACTTGCAAGACGATCTGGAAAGGAAAGGGCTTAGGGATTCAACCACCTGGATGTGCCTCGCAAGTTTCGTCTCAAATTACCAGTACTTTCCACCTCCTTCAAAAGAGACACGTCCACAATGGTGGCTTCCCCTTCGGACACACCGGTGACGATCGGGTCTTAGAGGGAGTCAAAGCTACAAGCCTCTCAGATCTTCTCTTCACCGGCCTCCATCGGCACCGCGCCCGACAGCCCCGGAGCCGGCTCCACCTGGGAGGCGTTGGCACGAGAGGTCGACGTGCGGGTGCGGGTCTGCCCCGTGGCCGACTGACCCACAAAAGAAAAGAAAAGGAGCCAGGAGTCACGTTCCACCGGGGTGGTGTGGCTCGTCGTCCCATCCAGGGGCTGTGGATGTGACAGGGACACCCTTAACATCCTCCATGGAGTCCGCACCCCGTCGAACGTGACCGCTGGAGTGAGATCACATCGATCAGAATCATGAATCCTTCAAGAAAAGAAAACGAAAACCATCGACTATCGATGTGAGATGAGAGGATAGTGGTAGTGGTTTCGTGGTGTCTTGCAACGGTTGATGCAACGGTCGGACGGACCACCTCAGTTAGAGGATGCCACAGGGTGAGGGTTCGACTTCAGACCCGACGACGCCGCCCGGTTGGTCCGGACGAAGCCGGATTCCCATGCGATGAACAAGCCCAAGCACCTTGTTGCTGCTGCTTGGCTCCGAAAAGAGACCAAAACCATCTCTTTTGGAGGGCCAGGGGATGTTTGGGGGAAGCCAGCAAAAAGTGACACACTCCCGTCAAAAACTGTTCAGGGGTCCATGGGATCATCTAACCAGCGGGGTCAATGACATCCCCATCCCACTAGGACAGACTGAACTTGGGTGCGGGTCATGGGACCGCCTTGGGCACCCAGGTTTTGCTACATGGAGTGGGTCATGGCTCCAGGGTGACAGTGACCTCCATCTCAGCTGGCGTCCTTGGAAGAGCCCTGGAAGAGCCCTGCTCGCAGCTGCACACGAAGGTCACATTTTGGAGAGTCGACTCGGAGCATCTTGCTCCGAGGTCGCTCGTGTTTTGGGTGCTCGTGAACACGGTTAAGTGTATGGCATGGCCCCTCCTGCAGCCTGAGCCACATATCCGAGGCCACCCTTCAAGTTTCCTGGCAAACACAAAGAGTTTACACAAAAAGCAGATGTTTTGCAATGGGTCAAGGCACTGCAGATCATGGACCGGACAAAACGCTGAGGTCTAACAGTCTGGCCCGAAGAAAGCCATAAACGCACGGGATAAGAGGGCACCCTGTCACATCTGAAGCAGGTCTCTCTTGGAAATCTGCCTGCGAAGTTACAGGGGTGGGGATCTAAGTGCGGTTGGATCTTCCGAAAACCAAACAACCCCACTGACACCCACACCAGTCCTGAAAACCAGCCTCTATGTCAAGAGACTAAGCTTCTCCCCTATCAAACACACTCAGTCCTACAACCCGCGCGAAACCCGGCGAAAGAAACCGGGTCCTTTCACAAAGCGCCGAAAGCCCGCGGCGCCGGCGAAGCGGAAGAGCGGCACCACCTCCTGGCGCCAGACCGAAGAAGACCACGGGCGACGCCCTACGAGCGCCCTGCGGAGTGACCAGTGACCCAAAGGGGAAGAGAACAGAACCGACTCAGCTCGGTCGCCATCGGCCCTCCGCAGAGTCTCGATCTCCGCGGAAGAACCGATGCGAATTGAGGACTGCAGTCAAGAACTTCAAGGTTCCCCCAAGGTCAGTGCAATTCCTGATGGCAAGGACCATGACTCCCACTTCCATGCCGCGGTGGACTCCACTGTTGACTTGCTTGTAGAGGACTCAGATTCCAGATCGTGACACTCTTCTACAACCAAGACCTCCACCGTGTTCAGATTCCATCGCCGACGCCCAGGACGAGCGAACCACCAACCGAGAGGAGAGGCTTGGTTCGGTTCGAAGAGGAAGGAGCGGTTCCGCGTCGCTGTGAGCGAAAAAGGGGGAGTGACACAGAAGAACGCTTTGTTGGTGGCCACTCACTTTTGGGAGATGAACCAATTGGGGTCTTAACAGGGAATGTTTTCTCCTGGTAAAGGTTCGATCTTGATCCCCAAATCCTCTGAAACATACTCTCGAACTAACATGGAATTGGAAAAGCTCCTGTTTGTAGAGGAAAATTAGTCTTCCAAGCGCCTACGCCGTAGACGTAGATCAAATCATTCTGTTCAAAAAAAACGCTCCATCCAGTCCTCCAAGGTCTTCCCCTTGGTCTCCGGCAAGCAGGTCGCCTCACAGCGTCCCACGTCCGCAGAAAAAATGACGTCGGACCGATGTTTCTTCCAACTGGTGCAACCGTTCAGCCATTTTTCATCCCAACCAGCGCGGCAACGATGCAGAAGTGAAGCCAGGAACGTTGGAGGATCCACCCGCCCCCACCGGGTGAGTGGAGAAGGAAGGTGTTGCGAAAGGCCGATCATATCATATCAAAACCAGCGCCCTAACAACCATGTGAGTGTTGGGCCAGTACTTCCAATGGCGCAGTACGACCGGACGGCGCGGCCCAGTTCCTCGTCGATCCCTCGGTCGAGCCGCGGGGGCGGTCCCCGACCGAGACGTTTTTCGGGCCGACCAAACGCGGCAACGGCGTGAGAAAGGGGGTCATGCCATGGGCGATCATGGCACCGGGACGGGGTCTTTTTTGCCCTCTTTTCCTCTTGCTCTTGCCGAAAACTCTGTTCGTGGCCGCTGCATGCAAAATGAATTAGTAATTGGCAAACTTCTCCGGGTTACAGAAATCTTGCCCCATCCCAGCCTCGAGGTCAAAAGAACCAATCAACTCATCACACACTTCAGAAAACCAATTGGGGATAGGCAGAACTTCGGCAACCCTCGGTTGGCTAGCAGCGAACACCCTTCCCAGAACCGCGCAAAAAGCAGGCGGATATTCTTTAAGATGGGTAGTTCGCCAATTTCCAGCTTCGTCCTGGCCAATGGAAATTGCCTTA